TCACAAACATGCTCTTCTTCTTCTCCTCCTTCATGAAAGATCTTGGTATATGGTACCTGTCCACCATATATAGATGGGTTTAGTCTCAAATCAGTTTTTTGTCCTGCAAGTCATATTTCTAAAAACCTACTCCGTTTGAATTGGCTCTCCGAGTGGAGAAACGAATGACATCCAGTATCTCCCTACGCCAATTCCATGAACCCAAATCAATCCCTTTCCCATTCCTTTCATCCTAATGGCGACCGCGTTCTCTCCTTCTGGTGTCTCAAAGTAGGTCTGCGAATCCATTTATTACGACAAATCTGTAAACATCACAAGAAACGTTTTATTGAGTTATATGTTTACCTTGTACCACGTAAGAGGCTTATGTTCACCATATTTCTCCCATTTCACCTTCTTAGATCCTTCCTCTATGTACACCTATTTCTTTTCACCTTCCAAACCGGCCTGCATTAACCGGATTAATCTTCATTATATCCCAAACCAAGAATAAAATTGGTCTATTATATTGGTCAGATGCACATAAATACCAAATGTCCCCATTCATTGTTCTCTATCAAATCTCGCGTTCCTGACTTTAAACCGATGATTGAAACGCCACGTGGACCGGCATACGTGTGTTCCATGTATGATCCACTGTCCTGAAAGATTAGAACTAATTTATACTTTGTTTGGTGTGACATATATAATCTCCATCTTGACTGTTTCTAACTCACTGGTAATCCGGTTAGTACACCCAAAATTGAAATACAATTATCTCTGGTTCTTAAGTTAACTGGTTTTGCAAACACGAAACTTTCATTTCATGGCTTCCATGCGCATTACCTACAACAAAAATATAGCAAACATAAAACTCTCTCTGTGTGTCTTATATCCCCTTAAATGACTGTTTAAGTACTTGCGTATTCTCCATTAACGTAAACGATTAATGCGTGACCAAGACCCGCTACTCTCAGTATCGTCTTCTGACCTTTCTGGTCTGGTATGTCATCATCTTCAATCTTTATGCTGTAGCCATGGAATCAACTCAAAAATTAAGTCTCTCTATAAAGCTTAAAAGACCAAAAAAGGAAATGTTGCTTGTGAAGGAAGTTAGTTACCTTGTGGTATACCAAGCATAATCTGTTTTGTCCTTAGTTAAGTAATAAAGCTCCCCCAGAATCAAGGAATCACCGTCGAGTATGGAAGGAATATCTTCACTAAACATCTCAAATTTGAGACCTTTGCTTGTCTTCTCGGACTTGACATCTCAAATCCACTGAACGTAAAACCATTAATTATTTCTATAAGAAAACTATTACTTATTTTGCTATGAAACCAGCATGCTATCTTGAAACGTAATCAACTGATCATTAAATTACAAAACTAAGAACAAACCCAAAAAAAAACTAAACACAACAACTAATAATACCTTAACAGTTTTTTTTTGTTTCTTCATCAACTCGTCCGTCTGAACATGGTTTTGATTGAGGATCCCATGATCCGTAAACCTAAAACACCAACCAAGCAACCCAAATTTAGTAAAACAATATTGATAGAAAATCCGTAGAACAACAAACAAAATCTCATCAAATATAAAAAATGGAATCTCAAGTCTCTATCTAAAGACTTATGATGTTTTAAGCCGTTTTCCTTCCACCAAAACATAAGCCAATCCAATCTTTTGTCTTAAGGATTGTTTTTTCGAATCTCAAGTCTTTGTCTAAAGACTTATGGTGTTAAAAGCTGTGGGTAACTGTTTCTTTGTCTAAAAACTGAAAGACCAAATCGAACATGATCCATGTCTAGAGATTTTCAAGTCGTGGGTAACATAAGGGATCAATGTTCGAATCAGTCTCAGTTTAAAGACTAATGTTTGAAGCTGTAGGTACCATTTTCCTTCCACCAAACATAAGTCTATCTCAGTCTCTGTCTAAAGACTAATGTTTTGAGCCGTGGGTACCATTTTCTTTCCACCAAACATAAGTAAATCTCATTCTCTGTCTAAAGACTAATGTTTTAAGTTGTGGGTACCATTTTCCTTCTACCAAACATAAGCCAATCTCAGTCTCTGTCTAAAGACTAATGTTCTAAGCCGTAGGTACCATTTTCTTTCTACCAAACATAAGCCAATCTCAGTCTCTGGTCTAAAGACTGATGATGTTTAAGCCATGGGTACTGTCTCTTTGTCTAAAAACTGAAAGAACAAAACGAACATGATCCATGTCTAGAGATTTTCAAGCCATGGGTACCATGAAGGATCAATGGTCGAATCAGCCTCAGTCTAAAGACTAATGTTTGAAGCCGTGGGTACCATTTTCCTTCCACCAAACATAACCCAATCCAATATTTTGTCTAAATAATTCGTTTTCCGAATCTCAGTCTCTGTCTAAAGACTGATGATGTTTTAAGCCGTGGGTAACTTGATCTTTGACCAGTAAACTGAAACCAATCCCAAGTATATATGTCGAAATAATAAGCCATGGATAAAGGATCGGTTTTCAGTCTTAGGTCAAAATTTCCCATAAGCCATGGGTCCAAACTCGACGGGACAATGTGCCAAAGAAAGATTCTAACAAAACACTAATAATTGAGTGTCTGCCTATGATCTCTCTTGGGTTCGAATGAAAAACAAAATAAGAAAGGAATCAAACAAAACAGAAAAACACAAGCAATAAACCACAACTGATCGCAACAATTTCATGCTTATCAAATTATGCAAAGCGCTACAGAAAAAAAAAAAAAAAAACACGAACCAAAAACAAAATCAATTAAAACCAAAAAAAAAGAAGAAGAAAGAACTTGTAATTCACAGAAGAAAAAAAAACTTTGAAACACGAATTTTTCGGTTGTGCAAATATCAAAAGCCTCTTCAAAACGAAAAAAAAAAAAACAAAAGAAAAAACGAAAACATTATAATAGTGAAATTTAGAAATCCTAGAAATCAAGAGGATTTGAAGAATTCTTACAGTAATAATCGCTACAAATCTTCCTCAATCTTGAATGATTACAATCGAGAGAAATATGCGAAACAAAGAAAAAACTTATAATAGTGAAATCTAAAAACCCTAGAAATCAAGAGAATTGGAAGATTATTGCTTCAAATCATCTTCCGTCATAAAATATCGATCGAGAGAAATATGCTAATTAGAGAAAGAAGAAGCAAAACAAAATCTGAGAAAATTATGAGTCTCTCTGGTAAGCTGTGTAGATGGAAGCAAAGAAAATCAGTAAATTTATAAGGGTCTATAATGTAAGGAGCAGAAACATGAAAGTATATATGATTACATGTCTATTCATTCGTAATAAATATTACCTAGAGATTCCGAGATTGAAGATCTCCTTAGCAGTTTTCACCTTCTTCTTAAACTCCCATGTGCAAAGCATATGCTATGTAGTAGACAGCATGTGTCTTATCAATCTCATTGACCTCCAAAAACTTGTAAATCACTTTCGCATCAGCGCAATGCTCCGCCTTCAAAAACACAAAAATTATGAGTAACATTGACAAAAAAAAAAATTATTTCGTTATGTAGTGCATGGTAAAAAAATATTTTACATCAGATCCGATGAGAGACAACTATCAATAATTAAACCAACACAAATTATAAAATTGTAAGTAATTTACAAAGAGACATAAGAGAAACGCTAACTAAAATTAAAGAGGACTCACGATAGATGTAAAAAGTTTGTTAATGAATTTAATGAAGAGGCATGTCTTCATCAACTCGTTCATTCAATCTCTTGATAGAAACTCCCATGAGCGGTTACCTAAAACATAATTCACACGATACAAATCAGCAAAACAATAACAATCTTGATAATTCATAGACCAAGATAATAACAATACAAATATAACCTCAAGAAAAGGTAAAAAATAATAACGCAAAATAAATCGATCCATAAAAGAACCAAAGCAACAAAAAAAAAGCTATAATATCAAAACGATATGTTTAGGCTAACGAATCTGAGTTCTAATGGTGTGGTTGCGGCTCTATATTTATAGTTTAATATCTAGGGCACACCGTCATAATTATCTCTAAAAATTTATTTTTTAAAATTGGAAAATTTCTTGATAAAAATATTCGTAATATATTTTAGTATCTATCTTAAATTTTTATAAAAATTAAAAAACAAAATATTCTATATTTTAATATTTAAAAACAAAATATTCTATATTTTAATTAAAAAACGAAATATTCCATATTTTAATAAAATTCACACGATTTTATTGTTTTACCCTCACCAAAAAATAGAAAACTGGATTTGATAGTGTATTCATTAAGGGTGATTAAGACTAATCATCACAAAACACGATTAGACTTATATACCCTTAACAACTAAGAACAAAAAATTTCGAATTGAGGTTGTTTAGGGCATTATTATAGAGATCAACACACGATTAGACTTATATACCCCTAATTACGAAGAAGGAGAAATTTCGAGAAGAACAATTCATTAAGGGTGTTTAGGACAAATCATTCTAACTTTTAACCACAGGCTTCCAATGCCCTAACTTTCAATATGGTGCGTTTCTACTTCTCAAATAATTATTGTAGAGATTGTTAACCTAAGAATATATTTTTTTGATGTATATATACGTTGTTATTATGTTAAATGACATAGTGTCATTCTATTATTGCGAAATATAAAATATTAAAGTACTGAATTAAATTATGGTTTGATATAAGTGTTAAAACATGTGCCTTTAACAAAAAAAAAAAAAAGTGTTAAAACTTGTGTATTAGGTAGTTGTGTTAAATTTGTCAATTTACTATAGTGAAAGTATTATTATTCGACATAGGCATGAGACTAAGGCTATTTCGGGTTAACCAATACATAAACAATTGGTTAATTTGGTTTATGAGTCTAAAACCCAAAATAACCGAAATTGTGAGATGTTTTTGGGCCTGTTAGCCCAATTAATTATATTACGGAGAAAAAGTTATAGTTTTTAAATTTATTAGTCCAGTTGGCCCAAATCTCTCTAGTTTATCTCGACTCTTCTTCTTCTTAGCACCAATGTCGAAGAACTGTTGCATGCATCTTCGCCGAATTAGATCCATGGTGAGTATTACCCAAGAAACATGATGTTTCTTTATCTTTTCTGTTCACATCTCTTACTAAATTCCGAAAAACTTATGAAATTATATCTGATTTCTATTTAAGCGTGTCAATCGAAAGAGAAGCCGGATACAATAATCAAAGTTGTCCAAATATGAAGAATGAAAGGAGCTGGAATCTGAGTTTGTTGTAACATGGGCAAGAATTTGATTTCGATGCGTGGCCAAGAACCAAACTATCAAGTTGATATCGGGTGAGTTTCTCATCCTTTTTTTGCAATAATTTAGTTCAATCGACTACGAAAAAAAACTAAATTGTTTGGCTGTGTATGAACTGAGTTAGAACCAATAGTTAATTGCAAAGGATGTTAATTTATATAAACTTTCTGATTGTTTGAGCTAAATCTGAGACAATTTTATTGGCATGACTATGAAACTAAAACTTAGCATTGCTTGAATTTGTTGAATACCAAAAGCTCAACCAAATAAATTCGTTACTACCTTATCATTATCAAACAACTGGAAAATGAGTAAATCTGCAAAAATTGCTGATACAGTTAAGAAAATATTGATGTTATAATTAATAGGGAACAATAAAATGAAAAGTAAAATAACACAAACCAAAAAAACACAAACTCGCCTAATTCTGAAAATATTTTAAATAACATAAGCCAAAGAATTCTTATCTTAAAAAAAAAAAAACTTAAGAAGTACCATATCATTCGTCTAATAAACGTCTTGCCGGACATGCATCCTTGTATGTCACGTAGACAACACCTTTGTAAGTCCTTAAACCTGCATCACATGTTGGACCTTTCAGAAAAAGGAAAGAGGAGTTTCAAGTGTGAATATCTTTCCATCTTATTTGAAAGAAAGGTTGTCCTTCGACTCTTGAAGGTTTTTTGCCTCCTATGAGAGCATTTTTCATCTTTGATTCCATGTAAAATCTGTTTATTTTAGATATAAAGGTTAGTAAAACGTTATTGTAGCTTTTATACTAAATAAAATTCAGATTAATACATATTCTTGAGTTAGTTAAATAACTTGAAATAGTCCTATAAACACAAAATAGTTTGAATATTTTTGATGCTTTTGATTTAATATTATCATTGGTTTAGGAATAACTTTACCTCAATCATCTCATAGACTCCTTTGATGGTCTTCTTTGTTCCCTGCAAAGAACAATATATCACGTTGGTAAGAATTTATTTAGAAGATAAATATTCTCATATTAGAAATAATACAAATTAATGTTACAGAAACAAATGTATCCTGAAGGTTTTATTTAAAAAGCTTACTTGCATATGAGCTAGATCCATATCGGTACGGAAATAAAAATTTTGTGGTATATGTCTTCCAGGTATAAAGAAGACTCACTTGAAGTTTCAAACCTGTCTTTTACATCTTGACATCACGGAGCAGAGGGAATGAAGCATCCATTTTGAATTTCAGAGTATTAAGATGATAAAATATCAATGAAAAAGAGGTAATTGTGTGATGAGTTAGAATGTGAAATGTACAACGATATTTATAGATAGTTTAGATGCTTAGGGTTTTGTCGCCATCGTGTGGTGAAAATCTTTGGTGAGCAAGCATAATATCAAAGATTCGCCTAGGAAAAAGGAATTTTGATTTATTCGGCTATGAATGTTAACAATGTTTTAGGAAAAATTAGTTTATGGTTTAAGTAACAATAGGATATTTTAGGAGATTGTGAAGTACAAAATAGGGAGGATTGTATTTGATTGAAGATTTCGTATAATTTAGTTATAGAACTCTTATTAAATTTTCGAATATGCTAGGAAATTAGGAATCTTCTAATAATTGATTTAGATTTTGGATCCATAAAATATCAGTTTAAATATCAGTTTGTTATAACTAATATATTGCCAAATAAATCATTAATTTCGTTTGGATTTTTTGTAGGAAAGTATCCAAAAAAGAAGGATCCGATTGATGGAATTGCGGGTTAAAATCAAATAAGGAACGATCCGTGTAAAAAAAATTCGGGTATAAAAAGTAAATATGGCAAGATCCGAATCAAAGATTTCCGGGTCAAAATCAATTAAAATCCGACCCGATTAGGAACCCCAAAAAATGTTGCAAAATGTAGATATAAGTCGGATCTGCCGGAACTCACCCGGCAATAACCTAACAACAGGAAAAAAGACAATTCGATCGGTCAATTTGAAATACAAATGGTGGACGTCGTCGTCAACAGTCGTCAAATATCATCATTTTGAAATACATGATAATATACTTGGGAATCACATTCCGATGATTTATGACTAAACAACAAAGGCAACTCGAATAATTACTTGGTAATCAAGTTCCAATCATCAAAGACTAACTAAAAGACAATGACTGTTTTAACAATTTATACTGTAAATTGTTACTGGCTAACTTTAGAATCTGTAGACAACTAACTTTTGTCCAATCAAGTTTTGTCTTTTTAAAAATTTCCGCCGCCACTATCTACTTTTTTTTACGGTTCAGCGACTTCTAGACGACCCTTTTAACCGCTTAAAGTTATATAAATTTTGATTTAATGTATTTTTCCAATTTCTAAATACATAGATATAAATTTATAAGGTTTAACTCCATGTATATGGTTATAAATATTTTAATTAGTTTTTGTTTACCATTTATTATTTTTATATAATTTTTATTCATAATATTACAAATTATGTTATAAACGCTCAAACCGCTTACAATCTCCTAGATTCCGATTAAGTGTTCTAAAGCGTTAGGCGTTAAGTCACTGTCCGCTTAGCACTTTATTAAACATTGATAATTATATAACAACAAATAATTTACAGCTACAATCGAACCAGTAATGATTTTATTTTAAAAAGTTACAGATGTTGTGAACTGTTTATCTCATTAATAGAATAAGGGATATATATACAAGAACAATAGCAGGATACAGAGAATAAGGTAAAACCCTAATGGGCCATGGGCCGGTTATGGAGTCCATCTATATGGTTTATAACACTCCCCCTTGGAAGACATAACTGTGCCCGATACTAAACCGGGATCTCCATAATGCGCTGGGGAATGTTGCCTCATTAAAACCTTACCAGGAAAACCCAGTGGGACAAAACCATGGTGAAGGAAAAAGAGTACAACACGCATTACTCCCCCTGATTTGAGCATCACTGTAGATCCTTAAATCCGTGCATCCCGATCTGATGAATGAGCTTCCGGAACGTTGAAGTCGGCAATGATTTGGTGAATAGGTCGGCTGAATTCTCACTTGACCGGATCTGTTGAACTTTGACCTGACCGTCCTTCTGTAATTCATGAGTGAATAAGAGCTTTGGCAAAATGTGCTTCGTCCGGTCTCTCTTAGTGTAGCCGTCCTTGAGTTGAGCAATACAGGCTGCGTTGTCTTCAAATATGATGGTCTTTGATGTAGTAGTAGCTGCGCCTTAAGGAAGGCTGCCTACGTACCCTTGGAAGGGATCAAGCCACACGTAGTTCCTATTCATTGACCATGCCATAATCTGATCTTATGAATAACCTGCATCAACAAATCAAACTAAACCAAAGCAAACTGGACCTTCTTTGGTTAGATCAGTATAGAATAAACCCAAATAAACAACGCAGGAAGAATAAACTTTAAAATTTAACCAAACCTTCCTTTAAACCTTTCCAGTGCCTTTGGGTTGATCATGAACTAAATTTAGACAGGAGACTCACGGCAAAACAAATGTTTGGTCTAGTGTGTCTAGCCAAATTCATTAGAACTCCTATGGCACTGAGGTATGGCATTTCCGGACTGAATGGATCACTATCCAATTTGAGGCTTCTCACCACCATTGGGCATGGTCAATGGGCGGGCATGGTCCTTATTAAATCTCCTTGAGTACTCTTTCCGTGTATGCCATTTGATGCACAAGGATTCCATTATTCACGTACTCAGGTTGTAATCCCAAACAGAACTTAATTATTGCCTAGGTCTTTCATTTGTTTGGTCGATTACCCAGAGGTTTAAATCATTCATATACACTGCTATGATTACAAATCATTTGTTTGCAAACCTCTTTATGAAAATACATGGACTGATGGGATCATTTATAACCTTCCATACGCCCACTTAGTCTAAGTCCATGAAAGGATTTGTCCAGCCTTATGCAGTGCTGTTCTCGAGAATCTTTCTTATCTTTGAGCTCAATACCCTCTGGTAATCTCATATATTATCCAGTGGACTTATATAAATATGCAGGCATTACATCCATTAGCCGCAAATCTTTCTCTTTTATATAGCCAGACTTAGCAAAGATTTAAATGTCTTAGCATCCACCACAGGGGAGTATATCTCCTCTATTTCTGGTCTTTGTGTGAATCCTTGTGCGACAAGCCGTGTCTGATATATTACGATTTCACTATGTTTATTTCACACAATCACAAAAACTCATTTGTCCCACTGGCTTTACATTGAATAGTGTCCTTTGTATTGGACCAAACACATTCTTCTTCTTAATGATTCTTAGCTCCACGTTTTATGATCTTGTACTATTTTAATCAATCAGGTATTTGAGTGCACTCTAGTATAGACGTGGGCTCCTGATCCTCATTCATTTCAGTTGCTACCTTGTGCGCAAATATTTTATCATTGATGTCGACATCTTTTCGGTTCCATTGTATTCTAGACATGATATAGTTTATAGAGATCTCTTTACAGTTTCAGGACCTTGAGGTTTGGCGTCCCAAACCTCATTGATTGGTACCTTAGGGTTATGTCTATTAGCCGGCCATGTCTATGGTTTCTTGAACCTTCTCGGTTTCCCTTGCACCTTTCTTTGATTTCCGAGGGTTCTTGTCTTTGGAACCTTTTGGGTCTACCACGTTTCTTACGTGTTGTAGCCTCTGTAGCAACTTGATTGTGTTCCTTGTGAACATCAATACGTACTGGTGCATTACAAGCTGGTATGTACGATTTTGTTACTCTCTTTGGGTCATTATAGGAATCTTGGCAACTGTTTTAGCTAGTTTTTGCAGATATATAGTCTTTTGGATCTCTAATGGAGTCCGAGGATCTTGCCATGTGAAGGATGTTTGATTCCATGTAAGTTCTTTGACCAGCTTGTTAGTCTCTCCACTTAGTGTTGGGAAAACGGATTCATTGAGATGACAATCCTTGAATCTGGCCTTTGGCTTGAGATACTTAATGATGGTGGGAGAATCATTGTTAACGTATATTCCCATCCCCTTTTGAAGTCCCATCATTTGCTCTCTGTGGTGGTGCAATGGGTACATAGACTAAACACCCAAATGTCTTAAGATGGGAAACGTCTCATGACCCGTTAGCAATTGGGATGGGGAATATCTATGCTCACTAGAATGGCCTGATGCGTATAAGCTCTTGTTGCATGTAATATTGCGTGTCCCCAAGCAGCTACTGTGAGTTCAAGTATGGACATGTGCCACGGGGTATACTACTCTCCCCCTCATGGACATACTGTAGCCATAAAACACTTGGGACATAATTTACCAGCATTATCTAGACATATATCTTAAGTATGTGGGCTCACAGACTTATGGTATGGGCCAGCAATCTAGCAAACACCAAGTTTCTAGTTGCTTTGACTGGTGATGACCTTAGTATGGGTTTCCCTTGTGTACATGCTACACACGTGAGGTCCTTAAGGAGTGTGCCCTTTTGATTTTAATATCAGCTTTACGCATCATGTTAGAACCAGGCTGGCCAAGCCGGTCATGCCATTAGTGAATTTCTCAGTAAACCCTTTTGTTTACTGTATTAGCCTCTATCATATTGACCTTGGCATAGTAAAGGTCTATGATGTGGGTATAGTCTCTAAGACCTTCTCATGGTCTTGGGTGCTCTTAGTAATATATGGGAATCCTTTGTTCCCTTCACCCTTAGTTTCAATGTGGAAACCATTCAAACACATTTCTTTGAGACTCAACAAGCCCCTTTGAGATGGGTGAATATGAAGCATCTGAGGATGCGTGCCCTTGGGAATATGGGCCTGCCATGGGCCTACCCTTAGCCTTCACTAAATTTAGCTATACCCGCAATTTGGCTAATAAACCATGTCTTTAGATATTTCGTTTATTGAATTCTCATAGTCATCTATCTCATGGTCAAAATCTTCTTCACCATCGTGATGAACTAAATGAGCTTCTAGATTCTTTTCAAACTCTCTTGATAGAGATCAACGAGATGCTTAGGTGTCCTGAACGTCTTAGTCCAATGGTTTCCCCATTCCTCATCAGTGGCAAACAAGTTTATTTGAGTGTTGTGGTTTGGGTATACCGTGGCCTCTACCTCGATTACGACCAAAGTCGGGTCGGCGGCCTTAACCATATGAATGGTTTCCTTGATCATATAAATTATAATTGCCACTTCTACCACGTTCATTCCATTTACCATGACTGTGGCCATGATACTTATCTC